AATTGCAATTCAAAGCACTAAGTGATTAAAGGCCACAAATAATGAACACAGAATAATGCAATGAAATAATTCAGGGTGTTTGAGTTATTGAAAAATTTATACATACATGCACCAAATTCTCCTTTTGCAAGAAGGGGATGGATCCATTGTCCATGATTCGCTACCAATTCAAAATTACATATTAAGCTTCCCCCCAAAGAAATTCATAATAATAGTTTCTCTAGGGGCTGATTGAACTGTGTGAATATATATATCAATTTTCATGAAACGATTTGCCTACCTTGAACCCGTTGTTCCTGGAAAGACTGCTGATGTTTTGCTGGCTTGCTGCTGTCGTAAGAGCTTGTAATTGCTTCCACTGGGCGTTCCTGTTCAGCTTCTCGACATGATTTCTGTTGTTGGCAGAATTTTGTCCTGATCCCTGTTTAAAATATTTTTACTAGGATATAATATTTAATTAAACATTCAATTATTCTTTGACATTTATATATAAATAATCTTTCTATGCTGTACTTCCCTGCATCAAAAACAAAACCACTGTGAGATACAATTCCTATATTTTTATGGCTCAATGCCAGGAAAATTCAACTTTCACTGAATCAACTATGATCACATGAACGTGCAACTCATTCAATAAAAATGTAAAAGTTTCTGAAACTATGTTTTCAAAATATTTTGCTTTTATGTACATTGTAGTGAAACTAAGAGAAATTTATTCACATTTAGTAAGGTGCAGCATCAATCAAATACTTTTATATCAATTAAAACTAACAATTGTTAACGAACGACAATATCCCCCGAGACTAAGTATTCTTAAAAACCCTAATTAGTCCAACATACAGAACAATACTCAACGCAATACATTACAAAGAAAAAAGGCATAAAGAAGAACTAATACCAGCCAAAATGCATTGTGTGAGTAAAACTGTACATGTATAAACAGCATTACAAAAATGAAATTATTATATCAAAAACTTCTGTGGCATTGTGAAAAAATTCAAATTCTAAAGACAACGTAATGTGTATTTCAACAATTTATCAACATACTGAGCAGTTCCTGAGGACTGATTTTCTTACAGCCTGTTAAAAAACAACAACAACAACTAACGCTCACTCTAGTCTGAAATTGCATAATTTATATGAATAAGTACAATGTACGAGAAACACCACCATACAACACCCAGATAGAAACAAGACAGCACCAAACACATTTTGTAAGCAATAAAAAAGTAAATTATTTTCTGTCCATCATATATAGGGAAATAAAAAGCATCAACAATATGGACTACAGGAAGCCATCAAATATCAAAATGAAGTCTTCATCTAGGAGAAATAAAATATTATTAGATTCCAATGTTAAAACAACCAATACACAACAAGGGAATTTAAAAAGCCAACACCAAACCTAAAACCAACTCAATACAGCCATCACACTACACCAAAAGAAAAGCATATAATCATTAAGAAAATAAAGAATGGGAGAAAGGTGAAGATACAAGGGAAGCACAGAATTTTCCACATGGAGTGGACAGGATATGAATAAAGTAATTTAATATTATTTTCCCAAACTAACGCTTCTATTAGTTGACAAATAAAATCAAAATAGTAATTTCATTTTTTATAAAATTAGAAACAATATAGTCTATAAAGCTTCCTTTAAGTTTTGGAAGACAAAAGGTTGTGGTATAACATTAATCTGGATCTTGAGGCTTCAAAAATGTAATAGCATTATTCATTTGCAAAAGTATCTTCAAACATTTTTCTTCAAAACCATTACTTTCATGAACAAATATACTACAAAACTTGGAAATTAAAAAATATGAAATGCTTTACATGTTAACAAGAGAGAAACAGAAACTACTAAGTTCTTTCAAAACAAATAAAAACATGACTTCACAAGAGGTAAAAAATATGAATACAAACAATTGAACACCAATAAGGAAAATGCAGAAACATTTAAGTCCGCATCATGAAAAAAGCTCACCGTGGACGGCGTGGAATGCAGTAAGTCGTAACTTTCCTGGCCTAGGGATGGGAGGGTGCGCATAATTTCAGATGGTGTCAGCACACGGATCTGCTGATCTGTGACTGTACTGGTCACTCCAGAACTAAGGAGAATTGTGGAGTCTAGAGGGTTACTGTGGGGTAACAGGCCGTCCCTAAAGGAACAATTAATGGGTTGATTAGTCTGACTTGTGTTGTTAGTAAGAGGGACTTCGTGGAATTTCAAGGACGGTAAGGGGAATTGTTGGTATCTCGACCACAAACCACAATTGGGTGATGGCGAGGCAGAAGATGGTCCTGCATGATATTAAAGGTGATGGACCTGGGAGGTACTGATGGAGACGATGTGCATGGTGAAGTTTTTCCCAGGATGAAACTGCCAACTGAATGGGTGTGCTGTATTGCTTGCTGCACCATGTTGGTGAAGGGCGGTACCAGGCTGGTGCCTGAATTATATGTGGCTGATTTCTGTTGGTGAAGTGTCAGGTGAAGGTTGCTGACGCTGCACTAAGCCACGCCAGAAGAGGAGGAAGAATTGGAAGGGGTTGTTAGTTGAAGTTGTTGTTGTTGCTGTTGTTGGCCTTCACCGGTGGCTTGAGGCCCCCCACCACACACCTCAACGTTGGAAGTTTGAAACACCTCCACTGCTACTTGAGGTTTCAGCAGGAGTCTTCTGAGATGAATGTGGAAGTGGCAGCAGTTGACTGGCACTTGTCTTGCCTTAGCCACTGGTTGACAGGGGTGCCAACAGCTGGGGCAAAGCGGAGGTGATGTGGTTGCCTGTTGGAGGCGACTGGGGACTTGGTGGTGATTTCCTTGGGGATCTGCTGGTACAGGGCGAGCCCACATACACACACATAGTAGATAAGAGTAGTGCACTGAATAAGAATGCCCCAAAAAGATGGCACAACAAGAATGATGACTATACTAAGTAAATATTACATGTTATAATATCTGAAGAAAAAACCTATTGTTCTCTCTCCTGGCTATTCAAACCTGGACTTGAAAGACCGAAATTTTTGAAGTGTATGCTTTTCATTCATCAGAAATATTTTTAATAATAACTTCATTTCTTTTGCATTTGCCTAATTTAAACTTCATTGTTTTCAGAATGGCTTGCTGGCAACATCGTATTAACCAATTTTCTTTTATGGAACTTCCCAATATAAAAGTTGAAATTAGAAATTACATTTTTCAAAGCAATAAAATGTATTCATAATTAATAGTACTAGTCCAGTAATACTTCTATTTTCCAAAAACACATTCTATTTCATTCATAGTGCAAAGAAATTTGCAAAACCACGTGTTACATATAAGCATCTGTCCTCAATATTCTGTTACTTTCCAGTGGCAGTTTTAAAAGAGTAGGACAGAAGGGGTTTAAAGAAATTTAAAGACAGGTTATTATTAGACAACTTTAAATGGATGTTGTTCTATGGCATAATTTTCACCTCCCAACACAAATTGTAGGGATTTCATTACCAATGAGTTAGAATTATGCAAGATACTTTGTGTTCACTTCAGAGCTCAGTGTTAATGCTTAATCTTTGGGGGTCTATATTGGTGAATATACTTCGAGGAGATTGGTATTTGAGACTAACAACAGAATGGCAATCCTGTTTCCATGCAAGCAGCAGGCAACTGACCTCAATAGGGCCAGACACTGCTAATGGAAGACAAAACATGACCACATTCTTGACAAAGTGAATTGAGTTTGAAAGGCAAGGTCAACAGAGTGTGAAAGTGACTGTGTTCAAGCGTTCTGGACTCAAATGAAATCGAAAGACTGTAAATGATGTTTAAAATTTCTGAGGAAAATTTCTCGGCAGAAAAACTTTCAGTTATGAGAGAGCCGGTGTGCTTACACACTATATAATTCTTACTAATCAACCAGAACCACAGACAAGCTCTCTCATGTAGTGCTAAAAGTGTCAGAGTCATTTAAGCTTGTTAAGTCTAGTCCTTTGAAAATGAAAATTTATAAGTTAAATCTTAAAATTATTTTTCCATTACATTTCAAACACAACAATGACTTCAAACAATTAAATAAATAAGACAAAGAAGTGAGGAAAGAATACTTTTCAGCTCTATTTAATTAGGGGGTGAAAGAAAAGAAAGAAGGAGGGAGCAAAAATAAATTAGATAAAAACAAAATCCCGGGTCATATCTTAATCTCGCAACCCATAGCTGGGAGCACTTGTTCTTGTTTTGACAATTTGGAAACATTGCATTCCTTTGACTCTTTTTCAAACAACTGTGGCTGGCATGTATAGACAGCAGAGAGGGAGGCGAGTTGGTCAGATCATAAGCTTGCAGCAACTTTCCTGTTTGTGTGTGATTCTCATTCACGAGTTTTAGGCAAGCAGTAGCGGCGCATTCCACTATACCAGAGACTCTTGTTGCACTGCGCCAGGGTCGATGGGGCAGGAAGGGAGAGGCACACAAGTCACTTTATGCGATTCTGTCCAGTTATGCTTAAGAAAGCAAAAACCGTAATAATGATATGGAAGGAAGTTTATGACTGATTTATCGAATTACTAAAGCACAACATAACAATCCTTCTTTTCAAAAAGCCACTCAGAGAGAAATCAGAAAGATTACTTTCCGAAACATTACAGCCAAGCTTCTTTGTTTATTTATCAATATATAACATTATTATTGAAATTCTCTTATTAAACAAACAAGAAAATCTTTAATACAATTCTTAAAAATATTAATAAATATAAAAATTATTCAATTCTAATTATTGAAAATAAATAAAATAATTATTTCCTTAAACATACAACAATAAAAATATTGACCTTGAAAATTATTCTCAAGTGGCCATCATTGGCCAAGAGACGGCAAAAATTTTTCAGTGTAGTGC